AAATAAGCAATAACACAGTTGATTGTGGGAACTTTATACCCCAATGTTACAAATGAACAGATCAACTAGATTAAAAAAAATCAATGCAGAAATACCAGAACTGATCCAAATTTTTGAACAAAAGAATTTAATAGATGTCTACAGATATTCCATGTAACAACATCAGAACACACATCCTTCTCAGCTACACAAAGTACATTTTCCAAAATAGATCACACACAAGCTCATACAATATGCTGAAGTAAATGCAAAAGAATTGAAATCATCCCATATATTTATCAGGCCATAGTGTAATGCAATTGAAAATCAGTAGCAAAAGAAAACACAAAAATTTATAAACACATGGAAATTAAATAATACACTCCTGAACAACCAGTAAGCTAAAGATGAAATTAAAGAAAAAAATCAGACAGTTTTTACAAATAAATGACAATGTCAATAAAATATACCAAAACTTGTGGGATGTAATGAATGCAGTCACAGCAGGGAAATTTATAGCACTGAACTTCCACAATAGAAAATAAGAGAAAACTCAAATAAACAACATAACAGTGAAACCCAAGCTTCTGGAAAAAGAAGAGCAAGTCAAGCCCAAAGCTCTTAGAAGGGAAGAAATGATAAAGATTAAGCAACAATTAATGTGATAGACACAAAAAATACAATGCAAATAATCAACAACTAAAAAAGTTGATTATTTGAAAGATTAAATAAAATTTGCAAACATTTAGCCAAATTTATCCAAAAACAGGAAAGAAAATTCTCAAATCCATGCAGTTAAGAATGAAAAGGGTGAAATCACAATAATCCTGAAGAAGTGCAGATGACCATCAATACCTACTTCAAAAACCTGCATTCTAATAAGATGAAAAACACAGAAAAAATTGAACTCTTAGATACATATACATTGTCAAAGCTGAATCAAGAAGATACAAGATTCTAAATAACCCAACATGAGTAAGTGAAATTGGTGAGGTATATGCAAACCTACCAACAAAGAAGATCCCAGATCCTGATGGTTTCACTGATGAATCCTAGAAAAAATTTAGAGAAGACCTAATGCTGCTACTTCTAGAAACTGAAAGGGAAGCAATGCTCCTAAACTCATTCCTGGAAGCAGGCAATACATTGATGCCAAAAACAAAGAAGGATGCACCATAAGAGTGAACTACAGACTAATCTCCATAATGAATATTGACACAAAATTCCTCAGTAAGGTACTGAAAAACAGAATGTACCAAAACATCAAGATTGCACTCCATGAGCAACTAAGATTCATCCTAAGGATTCAAGCATATATGTAAATCAGCAAATACAATACACTGTATTAATAGAGTCAAGAACAAACACCACATGATAACTTCAATAGATGCAGAAAAAAATGTGACAAAGTCCAACATCCATCCAAGGTATAGAATCTCTACAGAAAATTGTAATTGGATTGTCTTTATCACTACCTGATTAAAGCCATCTGTGACCAAAAAAAGCCAGTATCACATTAAATTGTCAAAAACAGTGAGCTTTCACTCTAAAATAAGAAACAAGACAAAGATGTCCCTATCAGCATTCCTATTCAATATAGTTCTGCAAACATGAGCCAGAACAATTGGACAAGAAAAATAAATAAAAAGAATAAGGATACAAAAATAAGAAGTTAAATTACCATTATTTTCAGGTGACATTATGCTCTACATAGACAATCCCAAAAATTCTGTCAAAAGACTTCTAGATTTAATAAGCAAGTCATAAGTAGAGCTGGATACAATGACAACACTCAAATATCAGTAGCTTGCTTGTTATTTATCCCACAATTAAAAAAACTCACTGAAGAGAGGAATCAGGGAAACCACAATAGCATTTAAAAATAAAATGCTTATAAATCAACCTAACAAAGGAAGTAACAGATCTTACAATGAGAACTACAGTAAAACAGATCTTACAATGAAAATTGTAGCACTCTGAAAAAGATAAAAGAGGATATCAAAAAATGGAAAAATGTCCCTTATTCTTGGGTAGGGAGAAGCAACATAGTGAAAATGGTCATACTCCCAAGATGTAATAAAGATTTAATGCAAACCCAATCAAAATATTGATGACATACCTCACATAATTGGAGAAAATAATCCCAAAATTCATTTGAAAAAGGAAGAGATCTATAAGAGCAAAAGCAACTCTGGACAACAGACAAGGCAGCAGGTATCACAAGCTATTTGTTTATCAATAAAATTATTGGAAAAAATAATAAACAAATAAATAGATGATAGATAGATAGATAGATAGATAGATAGATAGATAGATAAAGTTCTGTTGGCTATGACTTGGAACTATACTATAAAGCTACTGTGATTAAAAAAAAAAACAGCACGGTACTGGCCAAAAATGACCCCAGGATCACTAGAATAGACTACAAGATGTGTAAACAACTCCCTACACACTCAGACATCTATTTTTGACAATGGGGCAAGACGCCTTCACTGAAAGGATGATAGACTCTTTAATAAGTGGTCCTGGGAAAATTGGCTTTCCACATGCCAAAGACTAAAACTAGAACCATATCTTTGACCAGGCACTAAACTAAGTAGAAATGCATCAAATATCTAAATACTAAAACAGAAAAATCTTCGGAAAGTCAACATAGGTAAAACCTGTAAAGACACTGGTGTAGGCACAGATTTTATGAACATGACCCTGATGACATAGGAAATCTCACAAAGAATCAACAATTGGAATTTCATCTTAAAAATCTTTCAAACAGCAAAAAGAAACCACCAACAGAATGAAGAGATAAGGGCCGGCCAAATAGCTCAGTGACTTAAAGTACCTGCAAGCAGGTGCAAGGGCCAGGGGTTCAATCCTCAGGCATACTGTACCAGCCCTATCCCTAGTGCATGCTGGGAAGGCATTTGAGACTGGGTGAGGTAGTGTGCATCTGTAATCCCAGTTCTTGGGAGGCTGTAAACAGGTGGATCACTATGAGTCCAGTCTAGTAGTGAGACCCTGAACACCCTATAGACCCTTCCCTAAAATACAGAAAATAATAATGATAATAATAATAATAAACAGAATGAAATGATAACTCATAAAGTAGGAAATGTTTTTCCAGCTGTTCCACAGACAAAGAACTAGTATCTATAATATGAAAAGAACTAAAATAATCAGATTTACATCTGAAGGCTGTAAAGGCTGAATACAAAAATGAACATCTGAAATGAGGACATTTCACAGATGAATTAGAAATACTAAATAAATATATGAAAAAATGTTCAACATCACTACTCATTCAACAGATGCAAATTCAAATAACACTGAGATTCTTTTTCACCCCAGGGAAAAATGGATTTTATCAAGAAATCAAGGCTGGGGCCAGCAAGATAGCTCAAGAGAAGCTTAGGCAAACACAGCAACCAACATGTGATCCCCAGAACCACGTGCTGCACCAAACCTGTCCCTAGGGTAGGCTGAGACACACATAGTCCAGGTGTAGTGTCACATACCTGTAACCCCAGTGCTGAGGAAGCTGAAAACAGGAGGACTCCTGTGAGTTTGAACTGTGTAGTGAGACCCTGTACCAACCAAATACAAAGAAGGAAGGAAGGAAGGAAGGAAGGAAGGATCACCGTGAGTCCAAGCTGCATAGGGAGACCTTGCACCAAATACAAAGAGGGAGGAGGAGGAGGAGGAGGAAGGGGAAGGGAGGAAGGGAGGAAGGGAGGAAGGGAGGAAGGGAGGAAGGGAGGAAGGGAGGAAGGAAGGAAGGAAGGAAGGAAGGAAGGAAGGAAGGAAGGAAGGAAGGAAGGAAGGAAGGAAGGAAGACATTGCATGTACAGGTACAAATTCCATATGATGAATGCTATCATGTATACCTAAAATATACCAATAAAACTAATGAATTTTGAAAAGCTATTTTAAAATAAATAAAAGTAAAGAGAAACAAGTGAAATTAATTTTATTATATTTTTATAAGACAACATACCTAGTATTTCATTTTAACATATCACTGCAAAAATTGTTAATTGTATATTACATATAAAAAATATGGACTTTAAGTACTTCAAACAATAATGATTTTTTACATTCATTTCTTTTACTAAGTTCCTGAAGTGTTTATTTTATATCTATTACATCTCTATTTGACCCAGGCACATTTCAAGAGCTCAATAGCCACTTGAATAATTATCATATTCATTGTCAGAATTAGAGCAACTCTTATCCAGGTAAGCGGGGGGAACTGAGGTGGAACTGAGCACCTCCCGGACTGTAGAGTGTGCCTGTGCAAGGCCAGAATCCAGCCCTCACCAGACATCAAGCCCTTGTCTGAAAACAAGGGCATCTATGTGTGGAACCTTGCCTTTCTCCAGTTTGCCTAGAGAATCAGTGTGGATGTACATGCTTGGAAAGGAACGTGCTCTGGACCAAATGCATGCCTCGATTGAGCACATGTGGCAGAAGTTCCCTAGCTCAGTTCTGCTGAGGAAACCCCAGAAAGAAGCCTGACATTCAGTCTAGGATTATTAAGTAACTGGCCAGATTATTTTAGCTATAATTTTATAAGGCCATAGAACTGGACTATAACTACTTTCAGAACAATTGTGCACTTTCCGTAACCTCTGACTATCTCCTAATTCTAAATCTGACCTAATACACTTGACTCCTTTTCTGTATTAGGGAAGACTGAGTGATGACTACTAGACACCGAGAGCTGAGGGAGAGCCCAGGAGATCAAATATGTTGTGCTAATATTTTTAATAAAATATCAAGAAGGACAAAAATATGAATTGAATTTAGTGATATCATCTACTACCACCATTGGATGAGTTACCAGAGTTCCAGGTGCTCCTACTAGACACTTTATAAGGGATCAAAGAAGATAAATAATTTCCCCAAAGTAACATAGGTCTTAAGCTACAGAGCCAACACTTAAACCTAAATCTGTTTTAAAACCCAGCATTACCCAACTGCATAAGATGTAGGGTAATAATAAGCTTCTCTTCTGGAGGGTTAACAACCTAAGTTTTCAGACCAAAAAACAGAGAAACAGAAGGACTGCAAGGACAGTCAACATTTTAGCCCTAGCCTTTCAAGGTCAGTGACGACTCAGGACATAGGAGAACCTATACTGTAACATCATGTAACTCAGTTGTGTCCCAAATTTTCTGGTCAAGGAGACTATGGGGCCACAGAGCAACATGATCAATGACATAGAGTGTGCCTAAGGAGAGTCACATGGAAAGAAAACATTCTCTCAGGCTTTCACAGAGAGCAATGGCCATGACTCATCCACATGGCTGACACTGACAAAGGATCTACAAACCGCGGTACAGGGTTACAGGATAAATCCTGAGGATAGTTGACTGAACTTATCAGATATAAAAGTTACATCCCTTGCTATACAGGTCTGGCTTTATCTTGGTCATAACCATCCAGCAGAAAAGTATAAAAATGAGGTATATAAAGTAAAGCCATATTAATATACTGAGCTGTGAAAGGCTCAAGTCAACAATTTCTGTGGATAACCCACTACTATTGTGGACTGCTGGACCATTTTGGATTGTTTTGATGAATTCATGAATCTATAGTATTTAGATGCCAATGGAATACCCATTTTTGACAGGACTATATAAAAAAGAGGATACAAAGGAAGGACTATTTTGTATCTGTATATGCAAAATAGTTAGGATAGATATACAGCTACTTTTGCTTAATTAAATGAGAAGAAAGATTTGTACTAATGGCGTTTGGACAGAATATTCTGTCTGCATCTTATACTATGGACAACCACTAAGAAGATAACAATGTACAATTATTAATTATTGAAACTGTCCTATTAATCAGTTTCAAAACTGTCTCATTGATATTTCTCAATAAAATAAAATTAAAAACCCAACACTATTCATTTTGCCGTGATGACTTTTTGTGTGTGTGTGTGTGTGTGTGTATTTTAGGGAAGGTTCCCCAGAGTGTTCAGGGTCTCACTACTAGATCAGACTTGTAGTGATCCACCTGTTTACAGCCTCCCAAGAGCTGGGATTACAGGTGCACACCACCATGCCCAGTCTCAATCACCATCTCAGTGCACCCCAGGGGCTGGGCCAGCAAGGCAGGCCCAAGGATTGAACCCTGGCCTCTGAACCTGCTTGCAGGAACTTTAATCCACTGAGCTATTTGGATGGCCCTGTAATGACTTTTCAATCATCCAGTCTTCAGAGCTGTTATTCATTAAAATCTGTTCTTAACATTAAGGATTTGTTGTTATTACATAATCCTAGTACTCTCATTTGGAAGTGGTTTGTCCAGTACAGGTTCTTATACTAGAGGGATGGTGCTTAGCACAATGATGTTAGGAGGGGATAAAGATTTTAGCTTTAGGATCACTAGAGGACCTGCTCTCAGAGATTAATGTTAGTCTGTTGGGGGGATTAGTTCTTGAGTGTGGGTTGCTACAAAATAAGACCAACCAACAAGCTCAGCCTCTTCTGCACGCAACAGGATCTCCTCTTTATCTATTTTGTTACACATCCAGGAGAACTCTCACTAGATGCCACACAAATGGAGTCACCCAACAATGGCCCTTCAGTCTCCAGAACTGTGAGCTAGAGAAATATTTTTAGATATAAATTACCCAGCCTGAGAAATTTTGTTAGAGCAATAGAAAGTGAACTAACACATTTAGCAGTGTTATTTGGGTACAGTAATTATTACTGCTTAATAATTAGTGTGAAGTATTACACCCTTTTCTCAGTCTTTGTCCCCAATGAGTCCACATCTAAAAAGTAACCATGCTAAAGTCTGTCAAAAATATATCTTACCTTTTTATCTTCATCTTTTATTCCAGAACTTTCTGTATCTTTTTCAAGATGAAACACCTGGTAGGGAGAAAATATTGTGTCAGTGATTAGAGCACTAAAAGCCTTCACAGAATCAGTCAGGTGAAAGTAGACTCCTGTTAAAAAATCTCAGTAATATATAGGTAATTATCTTCTTGCAAAATCATGAAAACATCTAGGCTGTTCACTAATCTCTTCAGAGAAGCCTACATCCATTGATGCATTCACCTTTGATGTGTCACTTATACTCAGTGGGGATTAAGAGTTTTTGCTTTTCATGTTCTTTCTTTAATTGAGAGTAATGGCTCTGGGCATGGCTGCTCACTCCGAAGATACTTCCCCCACTCAAGGAAGTTTCAGGCATCAATAAGCAGATAACATAATGCTACTTGAAGAGACAAGAAGCATTGCCTGAAAGACCTGAAATTGTTTCATGTCTTTCTACCCTTTATTTGTTGGACTGCAGGTCAAGATTTTCAATGCAATGCTAGAGGGCCGGCCCTCTGAAACAAGTATGTGCATAGACAACCAAGTAGCCACCTACCTTCTGCAACTGGGAGGTGGTGACTCTTTGGGTCACCAGGAAGATCATGCCAACAGCAGTTGACATACCAACAGGCGAAAACAAGATATTTCCATCATGTATTTTCTTCAACTCTCTGAAAAGATTAAACCCAAAGTGGGTGTTTGCTGCGATGAGGAAGTCCATGATGATTTTAGTGAGATCTGAAATAGTGACAGAAACATGCAACGCTGAACATTTGGGTTGGGCTGCTTTGTGTCACAGGAGCTCTTCCAAAGGTCATTGCTGTCCATGTTTCACTCTTTTTCTTGCCTTCTCTTGATAGGACATACAAGTTAGCTAAAGTCAAGTTAGCTAAAGCCAGTAGCTCTTACTTCTTGTTTCCCCAGGGAGTGGGGTTAGTATCATAGTGGTTTTATTCTCTTATTCTTTGTCTGAACCTGACTACCTCACCTCTCTCTGCCTACTCCTCATGATAAGCTTCCTCAGGCAGAATTAGTCCTTATCCTGCTGGTGATCAGGTGTTCAAGCTGCTCAGCCTGTGGCAAGGCAGGATTCTGAAGTTACTGGAATTCTACAGGCCTCCAGTAGGAGCAATGTTCAAATTCAGTCTTAACAATAATAAAATTAATAGCTGCATCCTTATCTGATGCTATTTCTAGATTCAATCAAAATCCAGATTGAACAGTAGTCAAATAGCTATTTCTCTTATATCCTAAACTATATCCCCATCATAATTTGATCCTAAACTAAATTTTCCTTTAAAGATAATCAAATATCTCTAGTCATGGATTATTAGGTAAGGCATGTATCTGTGCTTTTCTCTATTGTTTCAACTTTGTTCAATGTGTGTACAGTATATTTGTTATCTCACAATGAATAATTTTTAAGAGTAATTAATATTTGCTAGAGTAAACAGGTAAACCATGAACATGTTTCATGTTTTCTTCATCGGAGCTACTTTATAACTACTCTATCAGCACCATAAATCTTTAGAACAAGAACAGACTTCACAGAGAATGAAATATTTGTAAGTCCATATCTCATGGATGAGTTTGCTGCCACAGGTTAATCTCTATGAAGGCATCTTTTGTCCGCATCCTATCTGCTGTCACAGCTTCAGTTTCGGCTTTGGAGCCCTGACTGAGGTGCTTGCCTGCTCACTCAAAACTAAAATGAATTAAACAAAATCAACTCGAGAAAAGCCAATGCACAGTAAAGCTACTTCTTTCAAATCGACAAGCAACTATATTTTCAAGCACAGGAGTCAGTCTTAAATTGAAGCTGAAGGAAGAACATACCTGGCTCTTGATGAGAGGGAGGCAGCTGAATGAAGAACTAGCAAACCTATGTAAAATGAGTAGCTGAGATCCTTAATTTATAGCTCTGTCTCAGCCTCTCCCTACTCATTAAAATTTGCATTTCCAGTGAAACAGCATTGGGTTTCTCAATGATAATTTCCTAATAAAAACAGCATGCAATATTTATGTCAAAACTGAGGATTTAGATCCTTATATTTTCATTAACAGCCATGAAGTCATGTACTTGAAGTTGTCAGCAGTTGTGTTTCAAGTGTAGCTTAAATAGTTTGCATTTTAGACATACACAAAACAAGTTTAAATTCTAACTTCTCCAAAATCCCTTAGAAATTCTTTTTGGGAGCCTCAGGCTAAAAAGGTCTAAATTACCCAGAGAAAAAAACAGGACTGAAAGCAGATGCCCAAATTGGGACTAAAGTGTAGAATTAGAATGACCAAGTCAGGAGACTGGGAGGGGTGGTACGTGCCTGTAATCACAGCTCTTGGGAGGCTATAAACACTACAGCAGATCACTATGAGTCTGATCTAGTAGTGAGACCCTAAACACCCATCCCTAAAAATTAAAAAAAAAAAAAATAGAATGACCAAGTCACATGAACACATGGGGGAAAGAAGGACTGAAGAAACTTCATGCCTAATGATATCACAAATCCTCCTGAATGGCCTATTTAGAGTAGAGGTTTTGCACCTTGGTTATGCATTAAAATTTCCTGAGAAACTTTTAAAAGTTCTAGTCCCTATATGTACCACACAGTATCTGAATCAGCATCTCTAGGGTGAAATCAGGTATCATATTTTTTATCACAACAGGAACTTAGGGCATGCAGCCAAGGTTGGAAGCCACTGATTTTTATAGGCTACATTTAATTCATCTGCAGACATGAATTAAATGCATGTTTTACTTACTACTGATATACAGAGTTATGTCCTAACAGGCCATTATCCCTACTAAGGCTTATTTTTTTTTTATTTTGGAATGCTAAATGCATAGAAGACAATGAAAGAAAACATTTCTTTCATTTTTGTTTTCAAGCTGCCTGCTAGAAAAGAATCAGCAAAAGGAAAATATAGAATTTGGGCAGGCAGCTTGATACAAAAATAAATGTGTACACACATGACCACTCATTCTCACTCATTCTCCTGAAGTATTTACTGTCATCCTCCAGTCTTCCAAGGATAGAATGTTTTACTAAGCCTGTATTTGGAACTATAATACCAGGCAATAGCAGACAGTGTAAAACCACAAAACAACTCACCATTTTATAGAAAAAAATAAATTTTGAAAAGATACATGTATAAAAAGTATGTTCTCTTTAATGTTTTAAGAATAATTTTATTGAGAAATGACAAGAAATCATTCATTTTAATTCATTCAATAAATATTTATCGAGTCTTCTATGTACCAGACAGAGTACTAAGCACTAACATTTCATAAACATACAACAACCAGTTTCCAGGAAAACATTACCAAAGTTGGGAGGAACCTAAAAGAAAATTTCACTTCCAGATTCAAGTTTTTCCTACCAGCCTTGGAACATTTCTACTGGACCTACTACTTCATTAAAACAAAGAGCACCTACATTAGTCTCCACATTAGTGCTCATAAAGGATGTAAAAGCTTTATCATTGTTGTAAGCAACACCTCCGGAAAAAATAATTTCTTTTTCCCTTCCTCTGAAGACAAGCTTCCTTAAAGGTATCCGTCTCAATAATTACAATTTACTTTTCTAAAAATTCTTTTTATTAGAACTCTTTAAGCAATTCAAAGCATATATAATTAGGTTGGTTTTTTAAATGTCACAGAGAAATATGCAGACTAAGTAAGGTTCAGAGTTAGCTCTGAGTTGTAGAGTTAACCATGAGCACCAGTGAAATGCTTTTATAAGCAGCATAAAGCCCTTGAGTCCATTACAATACTCCATATTGTAGTATACCTAGCAATTTACGTCTTTGAAGTCCTTTCTCTGTGGCCCCCAGATGCTCTATCTCAATGTGTAGCTAGTTTCACATGCCTTCTGCTTTTCACTGAAAGCTTTTCCTCTACTGCTTGCTTTCACAGGCAAAACTGACTTTCCCTGAGGATCACTACATTCCAAGGTCTTCTCTAGGACAGCCATTCAGATCTTGGGATTAGACAGCAAGTTTTTCATTCCTAGTCTTCTTCCTAACGATTTCTTCTTTCAAGCCTTTCTACCTCCACCCTTCTTTTAGCCCTACTTCATTCACCTCCAATGTTCCCTTTTAGAGACTAGTGCCACTGCCTTTTCTCAAGCCACAAGCCCCTCTGATTCCCAGCAGAAGCCCTCTTGTCTGTACATCTCCAAATCTCTCACTTTCCTGATCTTCATCTTCTTTCTCCTACGGTAACTCTCACACAGAAGTGCACTGACCATGAACATCACCAAGAACTGCTCCTGCTGTAAACTGCTGGACACCAAAACTCTCCATCTGCCTACTGGTTCCCATCCTGAATCTCTCTAAACCTAATTGCCAGTGCCTTCACAACCCCCAGTTATTGGTCTTCTCCTTAGTCTTCTATTTCATAAGTCCTTCTTGTTTCAAAATGAGTGGAAAGAAAGAGGTTGCTGATTAAGAACCATAAAAATAGCTCCTGTGCTCACAAGGGTGGAGAAAACTAATTAAGCCCTGAAGCAGGGCACTGATGGATTTGCCATCCTCTCCCATAACTCATGGTTTGGATACAACTTCTGTGTGTATACTACTGGTGCTGGCTTGTAGCGAGTGTCTTCTTCAAATGTACGCTGTAATCCATCTTGCTAAGGCCTCAAATGTAGTTTTCCACCGGCCTGCACATTCAACTTTCAGTTGCTGTTTTGGTTGACATTTCATTCACAGGTGCTGTTTTTTGGGGCCAGTGACTCAACTAAGTGGAATCTGTCTGTCTGGAGTCTGCATTTCACTCCACAGCCCACCCAGGGCACACCCAGACATGACTCACTGGTACAAAGGTATAAAAAAGCCACCTAGCATCAGGCAAGGCCTGCTTTGTAGTATGATTTATGTTCCAGGCCTCCTCCATACGGTGAAACAGAAGCCAATCTCCAGCTTAAAGCAGGTGATTAATTGAGATTTCTCCTTGTCCTAGCCTGCTTCTCTAAAAGAAGCACATCCTCCCCTAAAAATAAATAGGCAAAAATAAAAATTAAAAGTGAACAAAAGTTATTGTCTATATCTCTGATTCTAGAGTACCTAATCTAAGGCAAGAGTATTTAATATCTACTCTAACATCCTCATCATTTTTAATAATTTTATTGAGAAACAACAATGAGACTGTTTCAAAACTGATTAGTAGGACAGTTTCAATAATTAATACATTGCATATCATTGTCCTCTTAGTGGTTATTCATAGTACAAGATGCAGATATGATATCCTGTCCACAAATACTATTAGAACAAACCTTTCTGTTCATTGAATTAAGAGAAAATAGCTCTATATCTATCCTATTTTGAATACTCAAATACAAAATGGTCATTTATTTGTATCTTCTTTTTTTGTTTAGTTTTGTCAGAGAAAGGTATTCCATTGTCATTTAAATATTGTAGGTGCGTGAATTCAGCAAAATATTCCAATCTAGTCCAGTAGTCCATAATAGTAATGGGTTTTTCATTCAACAACTTGTGCAAATGTCCTTTAATTTTAATCAGTTTGCCAAAATCTGTCAAAAAAATCCTCTTCAAAGTTAAATTGGAGCCATTTAGAATCAATATATTACATGCAAAATTTTTCATTTTTTGTATTACGCAAGAAGTATATCTTCTTACATATCTTTCAATAGACTTATAGGTAGAAAAAAGAGATAAAGAAAAACCTGTTCCTCTTTAGGCAATCAAAGATATAGGAAATTA